CCCCCGGGCCGGCCCCGCCAGCCATAGCCAGGCAGACTCACGTGTTCTCTCGGAGAAGAAGGGGGAAGCGGCCCGGGAGAGACTTTTTATAGTCCGCCCAGCACCGCGAGATTACCCCTGGGCCTCGCGAGCGCGCCGAGCGCCAGGAGACAGCCTGTGATTAGCTGGGCCGTTCCCGGCCCTTGCCGCGCGCTGTGTGCGCATGTGCGTCCTGCCCGGCCGCGGCCCAGGCCCCACGTGACCGGAAGCGTGCTATAAATACCCGCGCCGTGGCCGCGCCTCTCTCTGCGGCTGCTGGTGGTGTGGGCTCTTCTGGTCCGGTAGGTCTGGCCGACGCGCGCTGTGTCGCGCGGTGGTTCGGGGGGCGGGCGTTGGCTGAAAGTCACCCTCAGCTCTGACCGTGGCCGTGGGTGAGATTCGGCGCCCAGAGTCACTAGGGGCCTCAGCTCACCGCCCACTGCCTCGGTGTGGGGCAGTGAAACCCAGGCCCCGCCGCGGTGGCGGCTCGCGTACGTGACCTCTGAGGGCTGCCCCCTGACTCTCTTCTCTCTGCAGAACTCCCGATGACCTCGAGCCTGAGCCCACGTGTCCAGGACCGCGAAGGTGGGGGTGGTCTGGCTGTCCCCGTTTCTAAATAAACCTGTTTATCTGATTCGTCTGTGTATGAATGTTTTTTCTTTTTTTGGAGAGGTTTTTGCTACAGGGCGCGTGCCCTCGCCAGAAAGGCAGAGAGACAGAAAGCAAGAGATCACCCCTCGGGGAGGGAGTTGGGGGGATGGCCACGCCGCAATCCCTTCTCCATTCTCTCGGGATCTTGGGCACACACGCCCGTCGTGAGTTTAAGCCACCGGGCCTGGGACTTCAACTGTGGTCGACTACATGGGAGTCTAGCGACATAGCCATTAGGCTAACTACTGGTCCCTAATTATGAACGTTTTTGAGCCTGGACCTCGCCCCATGGGAGAACCCCAGTGGAATGTTTTCTGCAACCCTTCGGTGCCAGAGCCAGGTTGGGAACCCTGATCAGTCTACCTGTACACCAGATGTTAAACTCCACCAGCAGGTGAAATGCCCTGGGCTAAGGTTGGCCAGGTCTAGCCAGCAGGCCACTATAGGAAGGATGCTCAGGGGCTTGCTGTTGCTGTGGGACAGTGTGGCAGCTCGTAGGCCTGAACTAGGAGCTTAGCGGTCCAACCTGCTGCACGTGGAGAAGCATGTCTCCATAGGCTGCGATTGGTTTCTTGGGCCTTGTCGCAGATCTGCCCACACGGTCGCTTGTGGGCTGGTAGGTTCCAGAGCCCTACTTAGACCCAATGGGTCACTGTTGCCCCTGAGGTCTCGGGAAGCCGGAGCTGCACTGTGGAGAGAGTGCAGCAGTCCCTGCGAGTCCCCTGGATTCTCAGCCACAGAAACCAGGCCCCAGAGCCCAGTTCCCAGCCTAGTGTTTGGGTCTCCCTCAGTCACTTGCAAGGCACAGAGGGGCTCCATGGGCCTGTCCTGGGAAGGGGCCGCCCAACCCCTCCCCAGGAATCCTTCAGAGAGAGGAGTGAGGGCCCTGGGCCAGGGCTGTGATTGGCCTGAGCAGGACAATGCCACTGTGAGGTCGGCCTACCCATGCAGTGAGACCCAGGCTCCTGGGCCCGGGCAGTCAGTGGACTGCTGTCCAGACACAGGTCATGGTATGTCCAGACTCCCGCCCTACGCCTTGTGCCCAGCTATCCCGGGCACTCAGGGTGGGCAGTGGGCCCCAGACTTGCGTGTGAAATGAGAGCTTCCAGGCCTCTGGGTAGGTCTAGCTCCAGGCCAAGGCCAGTTCTCCAGCTAGTGACAGATGGTGCTGGGGAGATCTTGGGCCCCCATGGCTGCCCCGTCAATGTGGTACTAACCAGACTCGGGGGCCCACCTCCCTGCCCGAAGTGTGCTGAGGTCTGTGGGGGGGCTGACACTGACTCGGCCTTTGCAGAGTGGTGGGTACGACCTCAGCCTCTTCGCTAGTCCTCCCGACTGCCGCTTCCTGTGCTCTGTGTGCCACGGAGTTCTCAAGAGACCAGTGAGGTTGCCATGCAGCCACATCTTCTGCAAGAAGTGCATTCTCCGGTGGCTAGCCAGGTGCCACTGGGTGCCCCAGGGTCTGGGAGGGCAGGGGTGAGGCCAGGGCCACTGGATACCTAAGGGTCTGGGAGGGCAGGGGTGAGGCCAGGGCCACTGGATACCCAGGGTCTGGGAGGGCAGGGCGGAGGCCAGGGCCACTGTTGCAACCAGAACAGAAGGTCACAGTGGCCATGAGACTCAGCCACCAAACCCACTGGGACACTAAAATGTGTGTCCCTTCACCCGTGGCATCCACAGCTCCCAGCCTGCCTTGGTGCTGAGAGCTCCCTGTCACTCCCTTTAGGCCTCTCCCAGCTGGAGAGGAGAGGAAGCCAGATCGGCTCCCCAGGGTCCGTGGGGCATTCACTCCCCTTGTTACCCTCACACCCGCCCTCACCCTTGTCCTCCAGACAGAAGACCTGTCCGTGCTGCAGGGAAGAAGTGAGAAGGAGAAAGATAGTCCACGTGGGTAGACTGCGCAAGGCCATCGGCCGCCTGGAAGTCAAGGTACCTTGAGGCGCCCAGGCCCACCACTTCTTTCCCCCAGCGGGTGCAGGGCAAGCCCCGAGAGTTGGCAGAAGGAAGCCTGTCTTTGAGGAGAGCCAGGTGCAGCTGGGGGATTCTCAGTGCTGAGTTTGAATCATGGCTCTGCCACTTGCTGTGTGACTTCTAGCAAGCGACTCCACCTGAGCCCAGGGGCCTCGGCCGTGAGAGCGTGGAGGATGAAGTGCCTGGCATGCTTGCTGCTACGGCTGACTCCACAGATGGGGGGAGAAGCCTGGCATCCATAGCAGTCACCAGATGGGCCCAGCCTTGTCCCCCCTGCTCTCCGCGGCTCAGTCCCGCTCGCCTCCGGACAGGTTCTCCTGCCTGCAAGCACTTGCCCAGCTGCTCTCTCCCCACCCCCTCAGGGTGTACAGCTTGGGCGGCTCCCCATTCACTGGCTCCTGGTAGGTGGGATTCTGTGGGGGCCCGGTGGGACTTGGTAGGCTCACGTGGCACTCTCTCCCCACCCAGTGCAAGAACGCAGAGGCTGGCTGCTTGGCGACATGCCCCCTGGCCCATCGCAAGGGGCACCAGGACTCATGCCCATTTGAGCTGACCGCCTGTCCCAACGAGGGCTGCACTGCGCGAGTGTCCCGTGGGACCCTGACTGAGCACCGACAGCACTGCCCACAGAATGCCCAGCAGCACTGCCCCCTGGGTTGTGGGGCCACTCTGGGCCCAGCCGACCGTGCGCAACACAACTGCTACCGCCAGCTGCGGGACGCCTGGTGCGAACGCCAGGAACGCAGTCGGGCCCTGCTGCTGTGCCTGCTGCGGCGCGTGCGCCGGGCACACCGCACCACCAACCTCATCCGCAGGCAGCTGGTCCAGCTCGGCAGCTTCCTGGGGGAAGATGACACCCTGCTAGCAGGCGACCCGCAGGAGGAGGCCACAGCCACTCCAGGGGGCAGTGCTGGGGCTGAGCTGTGAGAGGCCCGGGGTACCCTGTGAATAGAGGGGTAAATAAACATGCAGCCCAGGCCCTGCCCGCCTGCCTCGCTGCCCACGCCTCCAGGCACCGCTCACTTCGCCACCCCCAGGGACGCTGTGGCCTTTGTCCCCGTGGACTTAGGTTCTTTCCCACCACCTGTCTTTGCTCTGGCTATTCCCCTTGCCTGGATGGCTCTTCCTTCACACTCCATTTACCTGCTGCTTCTTTCTGATGGCTTGTGCTCGCTAGAGGGAGGCTGGGGGGACAGGCGCCCCCACGCGGTGTGGTCAGACTGTAGTCCTCTGGTTCTCCATCTCGTTGGGATTTGGAGTACAAATGTGCAGTTTAAAAACATGCTGGGACTGGGAACCAGCAGTTAGTGTAATGGCTATGTCGCTGGACTCCCACGTAGTCAGCCGCGGTTCGCGTCCCAGACCCAGTGACTTAAAACTCATGCCGGGTACGTGTGCGTGCGTGCCCAAGATCCGGAGAGGAGAATGGAGGAGAAGGGATTGCGGCGTGACCATCCCCCCTGGGGGGTGATTTCTCGCTTTCTGTCTCTATGTCTCTCTGTCTGTCTGTCTGGCGAGAGGACGCGCCCTATAGCAAAAACCTCTCAAAAAAAAAAAAAAAAAAAAACATGCTGGGACACAGATTTGCCACAGTTGGCCATGTGGGCTCAAGCTCCTCTAGCCACAGTGTCAGCCCCAGCTTTGTCTTGACTCATCTGAGTTCTCCTCCCTAAGATCTTCCCAAATCATCCCCTCCCAGTACCCTTCCCAGTGATTACTTTTTATTTTTTTAAAGAATTGTCTTTATTTTATTTTATTTATTATTTTTGATTTGGTCAGAAAGAGAATGAGAGAGAAAGCAAGCTGCCCCAGGACTCCAACTACAGTTGGCCACATGGAAGTCCTGCGCTGCCAGCTGTTGGTCCTCCCTACCCCCAACTGTGTCTCTTTCTTTTTCTTTTTTAAGAATTATTTATCTGGGGACCAGCAGGTGGCATGGTGGTTAAGGCACTGGACAGACACTCCCACATGGCTGACCGTGGTTCAAGTCCTGGACCTGGTAGCTTACTTTCTCACTTTATATCTCTCTGGTCAAATTAAAATAAATGAGTGAATAAATAAAATTAAACAAACAATTTTTAAAAATTATTATTTATCTGGGCCCGGCAGGTGGAATGGTGGCTAAAGGTGCTAGACTCTCATATGAGTGACTGCGGTTTGAGTCCCAGACCTGGTGGCCTTGCTTTTCCACTTTTCTTTTTTTCTCTTTCTTTCTTTCTTTCTTTCTTTCTTTCTTTCTTTTCTTTTCTTTTATTTTTTAAGAATTATTTATTGGGGGACCAGCAGTTGGCATAATGGCTATGTCTCTGGACTCCCACGTGATCGACCGTAGTTCGCGTCCTGGACCTCGTTGCTTAAACTCACACCAGGCACGTGTATGCGTGCCCAAGATCCCAAGAGGAGACTGGAGGAGAAGGGATTGTAGTGTGGCCATCCCCCCTGGGGGGGTACTTCTTGCTTTCTGTCTCTCTGTCTCTTTCTGTCTTTCTGGTGAGCACAAGCGCCCTTTAGCAAAAACCTACCGCCCCAAAATTTTTTAATTAATTCTTTTTTTTATAATTATTTTGTTTTATTTTATTTAGCAGAGAAAGACAAAGAGAAAAGGAAAGTGAGAAAGCAAGCTGCCAGGTCCAGGATTCTCGAACTTTCTACCAGGCTGTTTTACCAGCTCCAAATGGCTCTAAGCCTTGACTTGAGTGAAAACAGGGGCCAGCAGGTGGTGTGGAAGTTAAGATGCTGGAGTTACACGTGCTGACCACAGTTTGAGTTCCAGTGGTGGCTTGAAAATCACCCTGCCCTTAATCCCTGGAGGAAAAAAGAGAAGGAACCACCCCAGGGGATTGATTTCTCACTCTCCCTCTCACTGTCTCTCTCCATGCCCTATGGCAAAAAGCTAAAAGAAAACAAAACAGTGAAAGCAACTCCTCAGAGTAGCTCAGGGTCTCCGCCTTCCAGCCCTAAAGCCCTCCCACACACTCCCTGCCACGCTAGCTTCCACTGCTCCTGAGCACCGTGCTCCGCAGTGCTGGGTCTTGCACTGGCTGCTCCTCAGCCTGAAACTCTTGGCGTAAGCACAGGGGCCTGGCTTCACTAAGTGCGGTGTTGCTCAGCAGTCACCTCAAGGAAGCCGCCTCCCCCCACCTGTGGAATCGCCTCCTGCCGTCCGGCCTGTCCTGTGCCCACTTTCCCAGGACATGGGTCACCTACTCATCACTGTTATCCCTGCCCTTCCCCGCTCTGCTCCTTACCCTCGGCCCACCAGAAAATGGCCTAGGAGTTTGTCTTTCCTTTAATTAGACAAGGCCTGGATGGGCCGGCTCGTGGTGTGATCGTCCAAGCAGCAGGCTCCCACATGGCCCACCCTGTGATCTGAGTCCTGGACCTGGAACCTAAGACATGGGCCAGGCGTGTGTGCTTACGTGCCCAAACTCCCAAAAGGAGGGAGATGAGCAGGAGGGCTTGTGGTATGGCCACCCGCCTTAGGGGGTGCTTTCTTGTCCGGACACTCTCCCCCCCAGCAAGCACATGCAATTTTTAAAAAAATTTTTAGGATTACTTATTTAATTTTATGTATGCATTCATTTCTTTTAATCTGACCAGAGAGAGAGACAGAGAAAGAAAGAGGGAAAGTGAAAAATCAAATCACCAGGTCCAGGACTCGAACCATGGTTGGCCATGTGGGAGTGTCCAGCGCCTTAACCACCACACCACCTGCTGGTCCCAGGTCATGCAAATTTTCAAAAAGATAAAAAACCAAGTCCTCAAGTGTTATGAAGGTTGGCCATGAACTCTCAAAGTCCACCTGCCTCAGGCTCCAGGAAGCTGTGGTCAAGAGGTGCAGCCAGGGAGCCTGATTCAAGGCGGGTTTGTTGTTTTCTTCCCTGGTGCCCCCCCAAGTGCCTAGAGCAAAGCTTTGCACACGTAAGGTGCTCGATAAACATGTCAATGACTGAAACTGCCCGAGCCATTCATCTCACTGCCACTGCCTTGTTATCAGACTGGAGAGGGACGCAGGGACTGGTTTATGGCTCTGTCTTGTCACTGACTACACCCAGGGGTGGTGGCCTAATGGTTAAGGGAACCAGATCTCACGTGGCCCCTCAAAATTCAAATCCTGGCCCCAGAGTGCTTGAAAAACACGCCTAGCAAGTGTGCCTGCGTGCCCAGTCGACAGGATGGCGAGCTGGAGGAGCGGATTACGGCGTGGCGGTTGGGAAGTGCTCCTGCTGCAGAGCGGCAGCGAGTGAACGACCGCCAGGGCCGCCTTAAGTCTAAGGCCTTCCACCTCGCCTCTCTCTGCCTCTGGCCAGCCCAGGCACTCTTCGGCAATTGGGTTCAAGACAAAACAAAGCAGCAAACACTTTTCACGAATCTCTTGTTACGTTTCCACTAAAAGGCTAAAAGGGAGAGAAGCCCAAGCACCCGCCAATCTCCGCCCGTGGGCGGGACTGCCCCCAGCCAACTCCGCACTCCGCCCCACAGGCTGGAAACGCCTCTGCCCGCAGCAAAGATGGCGCCCGGAGCGCGGTGCGGATGACGTCACTGCGGGCGCGGGCAGTGACGCCATCGGGGCGCGCCGGCCGGGGAAAAGCCGGTGTTTCCCACGCGGCCTCGAAGGTCCGGCGGATGCTGGCGGGCGCGGCGGCGCCATGGCGGAGGCTGCGGGCGGAGTGTGCCGGTTCAAGGCCAAGTGAGTCTGGGGCGCAGAGGCTGGGGGCGCCGCCTGGGGAGGACGCCGCGGGCGCCGCCGGAGAGACGGAGGCGCCCGCCGGAGAGCGGTCGCGCATTAGGGTCTGCGTGGGGGGCGAGGGTTGGGCACGGACCGACCCGCGGGGCCGTGCAGGCTGCGGTAACCGGAGGGGGGAGAGCCGGCACCGGGCGCTCTCGGGAAGGGCGGGTCTGAGCCCGGCGGCTGGCGCAGCCAACCTCAGAAACAAGGGTCCGGGTTTGGGGGGTGGAGTGGGGACGAGATGTCTCACCGGACGGGGAGGCGGCACAAGTCGAGGCTGGCGCTGGCCATGAGCGAGACGAAGAACCACGTCCGCAGAGTGCCCCTCGTCCCTCGTCTCCAGAGAGCAGGAAGAGCCCCGAGATGGGCAGGTCGCTGTGGCCCAGGGGACCCCGAATCTGCTCCAGTGCGCAGGCCAGACTCTGCCCCCACTCTGTGGAGTTCAGTCTCGGGGCGCAGGGCTTCCGTTGTGAGAGACGGTGGTGCCAGCAGCACCACGTTGGAGGGTCGACTGGATTCGCGGAATGAGGGGCATGTTTCACTTTGCGGGCCAGGCTTCCCGGAGAGGAGCAGCCGAGCGTTGAGATCTGGGAAGAGAGACCCAGGTCTACAGGAAGAAACAAGCCCAAGATAGGAAACGGTCAGAGGGGCCAGGCCAGGAGCAGTAGGGCTGCGTTATGGGTTCCGAGGAGGAGGGCACAGACAGGTGGGCAGGGCGGCGTCCGCCAGGAGCGTCGTCCGCCAGCGTCGTGGACTGTTAGGCAGCGGCACATCATTGCGTTGTCGGGACTGAGGAAGTGGGTAGGGGCTGCGAGGTGTCAGTCGGCTTCCAGAGGATGAGCTGACCTGGACCAGGGTGGGGGCAGTGGAGAGGGAGGGAAGGGGGAAGCAGAGGGAAGTCCTTGAGTTGACAGCTCCTGGGGAGGAGGACCCGGCCTCCTGAGGAGGAGGTGTGCCGACCTCAGGGACCAGAGCTGTTAGGCGAGCCAGGCCTCCCATAGCCACCAGGAGCCCGCGCAGCACCGTGTTCCAAAGCCAGGGCTGTTGGCTTAGGCTCGTTCTCTCCTGGCTCTGGCTTACCTTGTAAGGCTCCAGGACCCTGTGAGGTTCTGTGGGTCTTATCTCCCCTGTAACCTGGGGTAGCCACATCCATCCACAGTGTTGCTGGTCCCCCCACCATATCCATGCTGCTTGCCAAGAACTCCTTAAGGGCAGGACCTAGGATTAGCAAGTGGTATAGTCATTACGGTGCTGGACTCCCACATGACCGACTGCGGTTCGAGTCTCAGACCCGGTGGCTCGAAAATCGTGTGTATGTGCAAATCCAAAATCCCAGGAGGAGAAGGGATTACATCCTGGCCATCACCTATGGGGGGTGATTTTTCACTTTCCCACTCTCTGCCTCTCTCTGTCTCTTTGTCACTCTGTCTTTCTCTGGTGCATGCAGACCCCTACAGCAAAAAACTGAAAGGCAAACAGGGCAGGCCCTGTTGGGTTCCTGTCTTGGAGAGCACTCACTCCACACAGGGTGAGCACACCCCCATTCTCCTTCCAGCTATGCTGTCGAGCGCAAGATCGAGCCTTTCTACAAGGGCGGGAAAGTGCAGGTATGAACCTTGGCAGGGGCAGGTGATAGGGCGGCAGGAGCTGTGTGCGTGGTGCAGGGCACTACCTTGGCTGAGACCCCTGTGTCTGCAGTTGGACCAGACGGGCCAGCACCTTTTCTGCGTCTGCGGTACCAGAGTCAACGTGCTCGAGGTGGCCTCGGGGACAGTGCTGCGAAGCCTGGAGCAGGTGAGGGCAGTGGGCAGCTGTGTGGGTGCTTAGGGAAGGCAGCCTGTTCACAGGGTGGTCTCTCTGCTGCCTTCTCCCCAGGAGGACCAAGAGGACATCACAGCCTTTGACCTCAGCCCTGACGATCAGGTACGTGGAATCAGGGTGGGAGGTGACCTTTGGGACCTCTCTTGCATGGGTCAGGTCGCTGCGGATGCCTCTGTGACTCAGCTGACTTGCACCTTCCCCAGGTGTTGGTGACAGCCAGCCGGGCGCTGCTGCTGTCACAGTGGGCATGGCGAGAGGGCAGTGTCACGCGCCTGTGGAAGGCGATCCACACGGCCCCTGTGGCGGCCATGGCCTTTGCCCCCACCTCTACTCTGCTAGCCACAGGTAAGCCCCAGCTGAGGGGGTGGGTGGAAGCACGGGGCAGGGTCTCTGGGGACAACTCCCTGATCTCAGGCCCATTCCTACAGGCGGCTGTGACGGGGCAGTGCGTGTCTGGGACATTGTACGGCACTACGGGACACACCACCTTCGGGGCTCACCTGGCGTCGTGCAGTAAGCGGGGTAGCAAAGGGTGGTGAGCAAGCGCACTTCCCTTGGGGCTCTGCTCACTACCTGTCCCCGCCTGCAGCTTGGTGGCCTTCCACCCCAGCCCTGCACGCCCGCTGCTCTTCTCCTCTGCTGCCGACGCGGCCATCCGCGTGTGGGCGCTGCAGGACCAGTCCTGCCTGGCAGTGCTGACTGCCCACTACAGTGCGGTCACTTCCCTGACTTTCAGCACCGATGGGCGCACCATGCTCAGGTCAGCAGCAGGCCTTGGTGGGGCGGGGAGGCCTGGAAAGGGGGTCTCAGGTGGAGACTGGAACTGAGGTAGCTGCTTCCCCAGCTCTGGCCGGGACAAGATCTGCATTGTCTGGGACCTTCAGAGCCACCAAGCCACCAGGACAGTGCCAGTATTTGAGGTGGGGGCTGTGGAGGGCAGGGCTGTGCGTGGTGGGGAGGGTCATGGCCCGGCTTCTGACTCAGCTTGTCTTTAGAGTGTGGAGGCCGCTGTGCTGTTCCCAGAAGAACCGGCACCCAAACTAGGTGTAAAGTCCCCAGGCCTGCACTTCTTGACAGCCGGTGACCAAGGTGTGTGGGGCTGGAGGGCAGCAGTTGCAGCAGGCCAGCAGGGGCTGGGGCAGTGGCGACTTAGTGTCCCGATGGCCCTGTCCCCACACAGGGACTCTCCGCGTGTGGGAGGCAGCCTCTGGGCAGTGGGTATACACCCAGCCACGACTGCCAGGCCCCGGGCGGGAGCTGACCCACTGCACCTTGGCACGTGCGGCCGGCCTGCTCCTCACCGTCACCGCCGACCACAACCTGCTGCTTTACGAGGCATCCTCCCTGCAGCTGCACAGACAGGTGAGCACCTGCCCTGCACAGCCCAGGGCCTGGCGCACCAGCCCTCCACTCACCAGGCCCTGCCTGTGGCCCTCCTGCCCCAGTTTGCTGGCTACAGCGAGGAAGTGCTGGACGTCCGGTTCCTCGGGCCCGAGGACTCCCACGTGGTTGTGGCCTCCAACAGCCCCTGCCTGAAGGTGTTCGAACTGCACACATCTGCCTGCCAGATCCTCCACGGCCACACGGGTGAGTGGGGACCTGCCTCAGCCCTGCCTGGCCATAATCCACCTTTCGGTAACCACCCCCACACCTCCTCCAGACATCATCCTGGGCCTCGATGTATTCCGGAAGGGCTGGCTCTTTGCAAGTTGTGCCAAGGTGAGACACCAGGAGGTGTGGTATGGGCCCCCTGGTAGGGAAGCCAGGGCACAGGACATGTCCTCAGCACCTCCTGTCCCCAGGATCAGAGCTTCCGCGTCTGGAAGATGAACAAGGCTGGCCAGGTGGCATGCGTGGCTCAGGGCAGCGGGCACACACACAGCGTGGGCACCATCTGCTGCTCGAGGTAGTACATCAGAGCCGGACCTGCTGCCTGGGGACCCCAGGTGACATGTAGAGAGTCACCAGAGTGGCCTGAAGGCAAGGGGGCCAAGGGGGAAGTGGCCTCAGGGTGAGGCGGCACTGAGCAGAATGCAGTGGGGAAGGCATTTCCGGCTGGGCCTGCCGGGTCTGGCCACACTGAGGGCAGATACAGAAGCTGGGTCCCAGAGCTGTCTGGAGGTGACGCCAGGCCCTCTGTCTGGACCACGGTCCAGCTGCAAGACCTGTGGTGCGTTGTGATTGGGTCTGGCTGGTCAGGCCCCACAGTGTCCTCTTTCCATGGGCTGTAGGCTAAAGGAGTCCTTCCTGGTGACAGGCAGCCAGGACTGCACCGTGAAGCTGTGGCCCCTTCCCGAGGCCCTGCTGTCCAAGAACACAGCCCAAGACAGTGGCCCTGTCCTGCTACAGGCCCAGGTCACCCAGCGCTGCCATGACAAGGTGACAGCAGGCAGCCACTGGGGAGGGGTGTGGCCAAGACCTCCCGTGGGCTGGGATCTGACCTGCGACCTGCTCCCATTGTCAGGACATCAACAGTGTGGCCGTGGCCCCCAACGACAAGCTTTTGGCCACGGGCTCCCAGGACCGCACAGCCAAACTCTGGGCCTTGCCACAGTGCCAGCTGCTGGGTGTCTTCTCAGGCCACCGGCGTGGCCTCTGGTGCGTTCAGTTCTCACCCATGGACCAAGTGCTGGCCACAGCCTCAGCTGACGGCACGGTGAAGCTGTGGGCCCTGCAGGACTTCAGCTGCCTCAAGGTATGTAGCGCCCAGCCCCGAGCCAGGCCTCCACCCAGCAGCCTCTCACACCTTCCCGCGCTCCCTCCACCCTGCAGACATTTGAGGGGCACGATGCTTCTGTGCTGAAGGTGGCCTTTGTGAGCCGCGGCACTCAGCTGCTGTCCAGGTGAGCGGCTGGGCAGAACAGGGCTGGGGGTGGTGTGAGCAGGCCCGGCACTGAGCCCCTCCTGGCCCAACTTCAGTGGCTCTGACGGGCTCGTGAAGCTCTGGACCATCAAGAACAACGAATGTGTGCAGACGCTGGACGCCCACGAGGACAAGGTCTGGGGGCTACACTGCAGCCGGCTGGAGGACCGCGCCCTCACCGGCGCCAGCGACTCCCGTGTGATCCTCTGGAAGGTTGTGGGCCCCATGGGGCAGGGCCGGGCAGGTGGCGGCCCATCTGACCCCAGTCTGACCCCCCAGTGTGACCCTAGGATGTGACGGAGGAAGAGCAGGCAGAAGAGCGGGCCAAGCAGGAGGAGCAGGTGGTCAAGTGAGTTGAGTGGCAGCTCCCTCTCCACACCCGGGGCTGCCCACGGCCTGGCTCCTGAGTGTTCTCCTCACTCCGTGACACCCGGGGCTGCCCAGGGGCCCGGCCCAACTCCCGAGTGTTCTCCTCACTCCGTGACACCCGGGGCTGCCCAGGCCCGGCCTGGCTCCTGAGTGTCCCCCACCCCTCCAGGCAGCAGGAGCTGGACAACCTACTGCATGAGAAGCGCTATCTGCGTGCGCTGGGCCTGGCCATCTCCCTGGACCGGCCCCACACTGTGCTGACCGTCATCCAGGGTCTGTGCCTGTCCCCGGGCAAGGTGGGGTCTTGGCTCCGTCCAGCCCCTTCCCTGGGACTCAGTTTACCCTCCTCCCACAGCAATCCGGAGGGACCCTGAGGCCTGCGAGAAGCTGGAAGCCACTGTGCTCCGATTGCGGAGAGACCAGAAAGGTCCGGGGTGGCGGGCGGGGGCAGTCAGGCATGATGGCCCCGCAGCCAGGTGACCGTCTCTGTTACCCACAGAGGCCCTGCTGCGCTTCTGTGTCACGTGGAACACCAACTCCCGGCACTGCCACGAAGCGCAGGCCGTGCTGGGCGTGCTCCTGCGGCGTGAGGACCCTGAGGAGCTGCTGGCCTACGAGGGCGTGCAGGCTGCGCTCGAGGCCCTGCTGCCCTACACTGGTACGTGGGCGCGGCCTGGGTGCTGGGTGGGGAGCAGCCTGGGGGCACAGACCCTGACCCCCTCTGCCCCCCCAGAGCGGCACTTCCAGCGGCTGGGCCGGACGTTGCAGGCAGCTGCGTTTCTGGATTTCCTGTGGCAATGCACGAAGCTGCCTGCTCTCCCTGCCCCCCCCCGCCCTCTGACATACACGGGTGCTTTCCCCCCCGACCCTGTGTGTTTCCTGTGCTCCATCTCGCCCTAAGTCCCTGCCACATCCCTGATGGATTAGAAGAGGCACTGGAGCCTGGTGTCCACTGCCCCATCCCCTGCACCTGGCCTGGCCAGCTCCAGCCAGCCTTGCCCTCAGCACCATGAGGCGGGTCTGCCATTCAGAAGTTTTACTCAGGATAGAGATCGCAGCCTCCCAGCTCTGGGAGGCCTCAGCAGTCATCCTTGGTCTGGACTTTTGGTAGGGTGCAGTGGGAGTGGAAGGCCCACCTCCCACGCGGTCCGGGCACCCTAAGGGGGTCCCCCAGGTGCGGGTTCCACCCCTGTGCCCACCAGGTAGTGGTACAGCAGTGGCTCTGGGTGGCACTCGGCAGGGGTCCAGGCAGGCACAGTAGGGGGTGAGGTTGTGGCATAGGGAGTGTCACCTGCCCTGTGCCTCACGCTGTACAACCCTGGACTGCTCAGGACTGCCCCCAGCCCTTCCGGCCGCAGCAGCACTGCGGGGAGAAGACCAGCCCGCCTGCCGTACCTGTGGGTGGGGGGGCCGGGTTTGGTTAGGGG